GCGTTCTGCTAAGCTGAGCCTGGGAGAAGGAGTGATTCCCTTCAGGCCAGGCTCAGTCTAGCAAAGCGCAGATGACCATAGTGTCCTACATTAGCGCCGGCGCCAAGAATAAATGTCATATTCGTAATCAGGATGTCAAATAACCCCCGTATACAAGTTTTCATCAATTTTGGTGATCTAGGGTGTTTTCGGCGTTTGCGCCTGTGGCGCAAGCGCCAGCGGTTTTGGCCCAAGCGGATGTGATATTCAAGTTCAGGAGGCCGAATTACCTGTGGGAGCTAATTTTCAGCGAGCTCTGCTCATGCAGAAAAAAAGTCGGTAAGAAACCGGTCTGATTTCGGAAGACTGGGGTAGGAAGAGCTCAATAGTGCCGTCGCGCCGCAAAATGAAAACATTGCGGGTTGACGTTTAGTACAGTCGTCATGCGGGCAGTTGATTAGGCGGTTGGAAGACTCGCAGACGCGGCTGCAGCAGCGACCGCGTCAGTAGGAACTGTTGGCGGCGATCAGCTGTTCCGGCCTGGTAAAGTCATCTTCTCCCTGCTTTCCACTGTTTTGACTGTTTTTTTCGAGGTTAGTTCTTTTTGACGATTTTTAAGGCGTTGTTTGGATTGTTCGATACTATCTAGGTGATTGTTGATCGTTTTTCTTTTATTCCTTTTTGACTGACTTTTTCTTCATTGCTGGCTAATGTGTTCCTGTCTATGTAATACAGAAACCCAGTAATGGAGAACAGGCCAGAAACCAGGCTGGAAACAGCTGATCGCCGCCAACAGTTCCTCGTGACGCGGTCGCTGCTGCAGCCGCGTCTGCGACCCTTCGACCGCCTAATCAACTGCCCGGATAACGACTGTACTCCTTGCAAATAAATTTTTGTTCGTTGCGCGACCGCAGGCGCGTCAAAATCGCAATGGCAATGATAAAAACAAGTACAGTTCAAACAGTTCCTCAGAAGCTTGTCCTTGAAAAGGCTGTTTTGAAATTTTTACCAAGATCAAAAACTTTGACTGTCGGGAAAGGTAAAAAAAAACTCACAGCGACGGTTGAATAATACCCATGATAATCAATTTTATCAGCTTTTTGGAGCAGGTAATATCTGGCCCAATCGTGTTGTCCATCAACAGTGGTATCCTTCCATTCTCCAACAAACACATGCTCCCACCCTGTAAAAAAGATTCTAGATGTAATGATTTAGCTATGAAATCTACGACCCTAGAATAGGGGTTGTTAAAAACAGTTTGCGAGCATTCGTCCGTCAGCGGAAGGGAAACGGATGAAGAGGTCTCAGAAATTGAGAATCGGAAATACTGGGTGTGTAGGAAGAAATTCTGATTACTCATAAATGCAAATGGAATGGTTCCTTCGCAGTTTAGTTGAGCCAGCGAAAAAACCAAGTTGAAGTAGGATCCAATCAAGAGAGTACAATACACAACAAGTGTGCGGAAGGCGGAAAACGGAAATTGAAGACTGGGTTAGAGGCCTCTCCAGTCTCGTTGCTCTTTGGAGTGCCTCAAAAGCGAGACCCAAACAGGAAATATTATTACAAAGCATAATCAAGTATGCTATGATGGACTAACCAGAACTTCCTTCGGCTCCACTACAGCGCGAGTAAGTGCCGAACCATAAGTTCCACAGGAATGTCTTCAATGTAGCTATGTCACTCGCATTTTTATATCCTGAATGAAGATGATTACTGTAGTTTATAGGAATATGAAACGCGCGTCCTAGTACCTTTCTTCTGCAGGTATTGGAAGGCTAGGTTGAAGACATCTGTAGCCGTCCAGGTGTCGAAAACTTGCTGTAGACCTGCTTTACGGAATCCCGTCATTGCCGGCTCAGCAGTGCACACCTTAATTCCAACTTCGGACTAAAGTGTACCACCCTAACTACAGACGGATCCAACATGTTGAAACCAAGCGTGCGGTCAGTTCACCAGCATGGGAACGTCCTGGATCGTGCCTTTACGGCGTAAAATATGCAACAAGCTGGCATACGTGCATGCCTAACTAGAAGCCTCCCCAGTTTGTGTGGAATTTAAGAAGGGAGATTAACATTTTAGACTAATAATGCAAAATGAATGCAGCTAATGGGCTGAGCTACGATTTGGGGCATGTTGCGGCAATGCCGTCGGAATACGGCAACGTGTGGCTGCGTTGCAGTGGTGCAGCCAGCGCGGGTAGACCCGAAAATTTTGAAGGAATTCTCCGAATCCTCAGAAATTTTCAAGTTCGTCTGCTTGATTGCGCCGCCGCTACGCGAAGTCGTTGATTGCACTGTCGCAACGCGACCACAGGTCATCGCAATGCGATGGCGTTACCGCAACATCATGAAACGAGCATATTAGCTTGCAGCACATCCTTGGACCATGCCCGCATTGCTTTAGTGAACTAACCTGTGGGGTAAAAAGATTGTTGCTGTAAACGTCTATTAATGTAGCATAGACGGGTCGTTGGAAAAGCGACTCATTGACATAGGTAAACAGCCTGAAAGCGAATTTGAATATCAATGGGAAATGACACATTTTTCAGTGAAGTGGAAGTTACGACGAATGAGCAGAACGCACTGGTTTGGACTGGTCTTCTTAGTTCCCGATACTTTGTTACCCCAGTTCAGTGAGTAGTCATTAGGACTGGCCTTGTCGACATCGGCTGCTCGCATGTTATCGACGAGGGTCTATAATATTTATTTGATCTGAAAGATTGAGCCAATGGACTTTCAGCAGATGACTCTGCGGCAGCTGCACTACTATAGTGCCAGGCGCAGACGGCGTACGTAGTTCTGCAAGGCACTTGTTTTGCTTTCCAAATTATAAGCGTGTGAATGGAATATTTCGACAGCTGGACACACAATCCTGCTCGCTACGGATGCAGGAGCTTGCCAGTACAGATGGGTTCGGCGCGACGCCGATCAGATCTCCACCAAGTGTGGAAGCTGACAAATGACCACACTTAGTGGAGAATGAGTTGGCGCCGCGCATAATCTAGCCCCCTGACACGCCCCAGCATCCGCAGCGAAAAAGACTGCATATAGTTTCTTCGTTCCTGCACACCAATAGCAGTGTCCACCTGTAGGTCGGGATCGGATGTGCTCGGCTTCTTAGTAGTAGTACCGCTTGACTTCTTTGTTGTAGTCGAGCTTGATATAGCAGGATAGCAGCGATCAATCTGAATACTTAAAGCGAGATAAATAAAGGCACATATAAATACATGGGCACAAGAATAAAAAATAAACAGAAGAATGAGGAATATAGGATAGAAATAAAGGAGACTGTAAAGCACGTTGAATAAAAATGAAATGAGTAGATAGCGAAAAAAAGTCCAAATCCATACGGTCCATGTCGGAAATTGAAAATCGAAATTATTTGGTCTCCCTACAAGTCATCAAAATTCAACTGAGTTTGGGGTACGCGAGGAAGAGTGGAATCCAAAAAAGTAAGTGGAATTTCAATGAACTAGACGCCAAGGATATTAATGGAGATTTCCGATAAACACAAAACTTGAACTAGGTAAAAACCAACCACTGTAACACCGTTCTGTGTAAGAGTGCTGGCAAAAATTGTCACAGGTTGATTATTGATAGCCATCTGACACTGAAAAACGACAGAAAAATGGAAATGAAAAAGCACCGATTCAAAGGTATATAGGCACATTCCGTTCTGATAGTGTGGGCTTAGCTACTTGGAACACGGCGCTTCCCTTATAGGTGTTCTCGTCAGAAGGAGTAGACTACAATCGAGAAGAGTGTTCTTCTCCAGTTAATTAAATCGGCACAATCAGCCATAATGCGCCCCTCAATTCCACTTTGTTTGTAGGGATGCCTAGCAGTGAAAAAAAATTGTGAAACTGAATGAGAAATTGTTTGAGAAAGGCGGAAATCGGAACGCGGCATCATTCGACAGATTCTGAAGAAGTATGACGTGCAAAACCACCTTCTTTGGAAATGTCGGCCTCCTCGATGTGACCAGGGGTGTAGTATGTATGGTCAGATTCAGCTCAAAAGCCTTAAGCAAATTGGCAGTACCTGTCCTCCGTTAAGCGCACAGATAGTGTAGACGGCCATCTCGAACTCAGGTGAGGTGTTGAGCAACATAGAGGTTTGCATTGCCTTCCAATCATTCCAGGCGAACTGCAAGGATATTTGAACGCCCTGAAATGAGAAGTAGCAGTAAAATGTGTCATTAAATAATACAGAAATTCAAGGGTGGAAAAGCCCTACATGACGTCTTGCAAATATCAGACCTAAATCTAAACGTGCTAGATTTTCATAAAAACTTAGCGCAAGGTTGGAAGGATTCGCCATGTGAGCCCTCGGAAATCGAAATTTAATGCAATAAATGCTCATTACGCCCCTGTGGCTTTCTGGCAATAACCTTTTTCGCAAGGGGTGAAGTTCTTAATGTGGAAGGATGGGGAAATTCTGAAGGCAGTTGGTCCTCATGGGCAAGTTATCAAGTTAGGAAGGAGAAAACTGAGCAGATTGTTGGCTAGTTCACCCGTATTGCATACTCTATTCCTGACCAAGGCATCATCTCATGGCAATACACTTGATGTCGCTGCATTCAGTCGGCGGAGTGTCGAGAGGGATGGAATGGTCCTGCATGTGGCGCTCGCACCACTGGCTGTTTCCCATTGATTAGTCACCAACCGATCACCATTGGAGGGAAGTGCAGCCGGAGGCGTCTCATCTCGCCCATCCTGACACCAACCCATCTGATTGCTACGTTATCAATTGACAGTATTCCCCCCCCCCCCTTCCCCATGGTGATGAATGCTGGCCTGTGCGCAAGAACCATGCAATGCAGTTTCACTCCGATGACAGAAAGGACGAGGTGAGCAACATTATTATGTATGAGAAACCGTGCTTCAACACCGTCATGTAAAGAGCCTCCATTCTGGTTAAAGCACAAGGGCAGCATTTCATGGTATGAGCATAAGCCCTGCGCAGGATAAGAGAGCGGTGGAGTTCAAAGCTCAAGGTAACGATCAAAATAGCCAGAGAAGAGGCGAGGGGGCAGCATGAGCTGGGACTCATTAAGGTCAAGCCTACGGCAGAAGATGTCTTTTATAGGAGAATGCGACGTTCAGTAAGCGTAGCGCGCACCGTGAAGCAGGACAGCACTAGCATGTCTTTGAATTAGCCCTCCCCTTACCCTGGACAGGTTTATAGAAATTTTGATACAGTCTGCTGTTTTCTTCACTATTTTCGTGGTCCGAAGTCTTAACCTGCGAAAAATTGGGTTACACAAATATTATTCGGACAACACGAAATAGAATGAAGGTCATGGGTTCAGATAGCGTATCTCACCAATGCATGAACTCTATAACCAGTACAGTTCAAAGGAGCTGTGTTGTTACAATCCAACATTTATCAAGCATAATATTAATGTATCGATCGGAATGGAAAAAGCAGAAGCTGTCCCTGATCGCCGCCATTGTCTTTTTTAAACATCGCTCGCCTACATGCTTCATTCCTCATTAGTGATTCAGTAGTGATCTTAAATCAGCTATTGATCGCAATGATTAATCAAATTGAGCTTCGCAATTCATCAGACGTCGTCTTCCTCCGTTTTGGCAGCCGTTAAGGTGTAATTTTGTCGCGAAACTTTGAAGGGCAACGTTCCGGCCTCAAACCATGTTGAGCGCTTATCGCAAACTTTTCCGATCAAAACTGCTACGATAGTGATTGAGAGTCATTATTGATCTCTGTCATTCATCACGGGAACGTCAGCTTTTACTGTGTTCAGTTTTCATTCCACAGTCAGTTTTTTTACTGCTTATCACTGAAAAATTGAGGACAGCACCAGTGAATGTTGGCTCTATTAGCTGGGACGTTCGCCCATTCCTCCCTTTTTTTGATTTTTTGCGATCTAACCATAAAGCCGGGAACTCTAGAGAATCCACAATTATACTACAAGTATTCTACCCAACGTCTGATGCTGGTCCAGATAGCCTTGAAACAATTACGCTTTAGGAAAGCCTCATAGGTCGAGGAAGGTCTAAGGAAGCCGGGGACGCTCATTGGTTTGAGGAACTACCTCATAGTAGCGTTTTGTAGAGAAGTTGAGGCTAGAACAAATAAGTGAAGGCTCAAAGCTTCCGGAGAGTTTTTTTTCCATGAGGTTGGGACTATTTTCAAATGTGGGCTACGTGGAAGTCGGACACAACCTTGTCTTTTATTTGGGAACTTTATTGTTTTTTCAGGTCTATACGGCCTGTAGCCTGCAGACCCTATTTTTCTACAGTAAATGGTGGATTATCTCTCCCCCCCCCCTTAACCGAGGCACCCAGCATGTTCGACAGAGAATATTGGAGGAGGGTCGTGTTTAGGAAGAATTGCCTCCTTTGAAGCACTTTTCGAATTTCAGATTTAGACTTTATAATTGTGCACCTTAAACGCGATCGCGAGAGCTTAAACTACTCAACTACTCTGTGGGCAGGGGTGGGATTCCCGCGATGGGGATGAGATCTCTTAAACGAGCGCAAAGGGGAGGGTCTCCGGAGTGAACCATTCAGGAGAGCGGTACCTTCAGACGGTTAACACCAACTCCTGCACAGAGCAGTCCTTTGAATGCTGCCACGTGAAGTCATCAGCACCGCTGTTTTTTTTTCTTTTGCACAGAACTCTCCTACAGCTGTAACGGTAACCAAAGGAGTTTAAGATAGGGAATGCAGAAAAAGGAACAGTGCAGAAAAATTGTTTGTAGTTCGGGCCGAAGCTCGGCCGCAATTCGTGGCCTTTGAGCTTGCGGCCGCGAAACGGCCACCGTATCTCCTGATAGGCAGTAGTAAGGACGGTAATAGTAAGACGAGGTGGGCCTGGCTGCTCTCTCCTGGCAGGCAGTACTAAAGACGGTAGCAATCAGACAAGGTAGGCGTGCGTATGGTGTGAACAATGAGTTGAATGGTTTAGTCGTATATCTTCAATTTGAAACAGCTGTCATCTTGTCTTCTGTTGGACAAAGATTTTTTTACTATTGTGCCTAAATAAAAATATCCCACCAGAGGAAGGGGTAGACGCAGCCTCGTTCCACTGAGTACGTAGCCACGCCTATCGCATCTCAGGGATTCGGGGTATACCTATTTTTACCCTGGAATTCACTTCTAATCTTTGAAAACTTATCTGGCTCTTTCGAAAAGAAAAAAAACGAGTGTGAAAATTCCAGTGGCTACTTCTAAAAAAGGAATGTCAGCTTCTGATGAGAAATACGAGCGTAAAAGGAGATCTACTAATAGACGTGACACTATACAGGTATAATTAACTTTTATGAATCAAAATTTCTGAAACCATTTCTGCATTACAGCTAAGCAATCGTGTTCGTTATATTCGGCGTCTTCGTTTCCGTATCTATTATTTTCTCGATCATCCGATGAAAGCAAATAGTACATGGTATCATTTTGGTGTGTTATTCTGTACATTGTATGCACTCTAAGCTCCACTAGTGACAAGCTTATCAGAAATTTAATTCTTATTTAACAGTCAAATAAATTCACGTGCTCGCGTTATCTACTGCATTACATCACGTATAAAACTATTTGTAGCATTGTTGGGAATCATATGGGCTACAGAGTGTGCTCAACTCATAGCTGGGACTTTCCCATCGCACAGGTTTCCGATGCACGAATATCGATTGGTCCTCATAGCTGCGGTGGCCAATCGATATTTGTGCCTTGCAGTAGGGAGAACGCATTTGGCTATGAAAGCCTTTCCCGAATTTCCGTTCGTTCTTCGCCTGCTTGGCTGCGATGGAAAATTGATATTCGTGCCTTGTAGGACGGCATATTGTGTTGTAAATGTGCTCGGGGGCAACGAGTAAAGCTACGCAGACGTAGGAATGAACTGCTGCGACGCAATTTTACACCACTTTTACACCACTTTGCGTACCGTACTCCTCAGCTCACGCCTAATTTTAATAATTTTCGAGTGTTTTATGATTGACTAGGAAAGGTCAGCTGGTCCTTTGCAATAAATTATACATCAATGTACTCGCATTGAGACGCTAAACTCAATCTTGCTTGCGAAGTTTGCGAGATGACTTGCGGAACATAATGTGAGGAATTTATCAGTGTCTTTTTGAGGTGAAAGACGTAGGCGGTCAGATCC